CAGTGACCTACCCCTGCGCGCACCCCCTATGGTGTCGAGAAAGTGCCACGCCCTAGCTATGCCTTGGACGACGGCACGGATAGCGGCCGCGCTCAGGGACCACCCCCTGCGCACCCCCTCTGGTGTCTAGAAGGTGCCACGCCTGCTATGCCTGGGCGACTGGCACGGATAGCGGCCGCGCTCAGGGACCACCCCCTGTGCACCCCCTATGGTGTCGAGAAAGTGCCACGCCTGCTATGCCTGGACGACTGGCACGGATAGGGGCCGCGCTCAGGGACCACCCCCTGCGCACCCCCTATGGTGTCTAGAAAGTGCCACGCCTGCTATGCCTGGACGACTGGCACGGATAGCGGCCGCGCTCGGGGACCACCCCCTGTGCACCCCCTATGGTGTCGAGAAAGTGCCACGCCTGCTATGCTTGGACGGCTGGCACGGACAGGGGCCGCGTTCGGGGGCCACCCCCTGCGCACCCCCTATTGTGTCGAGAAAGTGCCACGCCTGCGATGCTGGACGACTGGCACGGATAGCGGCCGCGCTCAGGGACCACCCCCTGCGCACCCCCTACCCCCTATGGTGTCGAGAAAGTGCCACGCCTGCTATGCCTGGACGACTGGCACGGATAGCGGCCGCGCTCAGGGACCACCCCCTGCGCACCCCCTGTGGTGTCTAGAAAGTGCCACGCCTGCTATGCTGGACGACTGGCACGGATAGCGGCCGCGCTCAGGGACCACCCCCTGCGCACCCCTATGGTGTCGAGAAAGTGCCTGCTATGCCTGGACGACTGGCACGGATAGCGGCCGCGTTCAGGGACCACCCCCCGCGCACCCCCTATGGTGTCTAGAAAGTGCCACGCCTGCTATGCCTGGACGACTGGCACGGATAGCGGCCGCGCTCAGGGACCACCCCCTGCGCACCCCCTACGGCGTCGAGAAAATGCCACGCCTGCTATGCCTGGACGGCTGGCACGGATTGCGGCTGCGCTCTGGGACCACCCCCTGCGCACCCCCTATGGTGTCGAGAAAGTGCCACGCCTGCTATGCCTGGACGACTGGCACGGATAGCGGCCGCGCTCAGGGACCACCCCCTGCGCACCCCCTGTGGTGTCGGTCGTGGATAGCGACCGAGCTGAGAGACCACCCCCTGCGCACCCCCTGTGGTGTCGAGAAAGTGCCACGCTTGCTAGGCTTTGCGCCAGTGCCACGAGCTGTGCTGTGCTGTGCTGAGCTGAGCCGTGCTGGGCTGTGCTGAGCTGTGCTGAGCTGCGCTGTGTGCTGAGCTGAGCTACGTGCTGAGCTGTGATGTGCTGTGCTGTGCTGAGCTGAGCTGAGCTGTACTGTACGAAGAGTGAGGTGTGTGTCGCGGGTGCGGCGCGGCAGGGAAGAAAACCAGAACCCCACGAAGCATGTGGGGAAATACCCCCCCCCCAAAGAAAAACGCCCCACATGCCCACAAATAGTCAAACGATCGTCCCCGCACTATTTTTTGATGGTCTTGGAATCGTCCTCCTGTAGAGGGACAGGCCCGACAGAAGCCTCGTTGCCACAACAAAGGACACACAGCCGGACCGAGGTCTAAGATCGAGGTCGGTTTGGGGAGGGTACCCCACTGTTATTGGTGCTCGTTGGAGGTTCTTGCGCATCCTGGAAGAAAACACCCTCGAACGTCTTCTGTCAGTCCGGACCGGTGGAGGGTCTCATGTGCCCGAATGGGGGCTCTGCTGTCCTCGGCCCATCTGTGCGACGCGCGCAGTTCCTGCTCCACGAATCGATGTGACTTTGCTGAGTTTTGTTACTCCAGATTTCGTAATAAAGGGAGGGGGGTCTCATTTTGGGGGGGGGTCTCTTCCAGGCTATCTTGGAGGGCCTGGGGGGTCTGGGGACGATGTTTTGGAGGGTTCTCCCACGGGGGGGGTCTGAAATGGCTTGTCTTGGAGGGTCCAGACCCCCTCCCTTTTATTACGAGATCTGGAGTACTCTCCGGGAGGGCCTGAACCCCACCTCCTTGATCCGCCTTCCTATTTCACTCGGGGAAACGTAAGACTCGAGTAAGCCAGATCTCGGGTGAACCGAAGTTCTTTGACGAGCGCGTCCTGGATTGCGACGGTCCAGTTCTCGTGGGATGTCTGCAGCGGGAACCCGCGTCAAATTTCAGATCGGGTCTCGTCATTTTTGCGATGGCCCCCGTCAGGCCAACCCGAGTCTTACGTCTCCACGGTTCATGTTTCGACCTGCTTCTTCCGACCGACGTGCACGACGCGCGCACGTTTTCCCGCAGTCCCTCGGCACCTCAGGATCTCTGAGAACTGGAGGGATCCTGAAGAGTTCTGCGGAATTCCATAGGATACCCCAAGGTGTATTCCTCCTGAATTCCATGAATTGTTTCAGGAATCCCACAGCATCCCGAAGGAATGTCATCGGATTTCTTTGAAATCCCGTCGGATCCCCCTTGCGGAGTTCCATCGGATTCCGGAGGAAGTTCATGAGAGTCTGGAGGGGATTCCACAGCATTCCTAAGGAACCCATCGGGTTCCCCAGAAATTCCATCGGATTCTCCTTAGAGAATTCCATCGGATGCCCCAGGACTTCCATAGGATTCTCCCGGACTTCCATATGAGATCTAAGGTGTCCCATCGCATTCCGAAGGACTTCCATCATATTCCTAAGGGGCCCCAGGAAGCAAGCCATGAGTGCCAACACCTCTTCCAGCCCAGCAGCAGCCCCTACCGCCGCCGCCGCAGTGCCAACACCTTCTCCGGCCCGGTGGGGCAAGCCCGCGGTTGCTGGAGTTCTGCTTACCCTTATGGGTAACGATTGGCTTTTGCAAAAGAAGAAGAACTCAACAAAAAGTGCGGGCCA